TATCTCAATAATAACTTAGCAAACTGGCATGGACAATTAAATAGATCTTTTACACTAGTAATGTGCAGCTCTGAATACGTCAATGAATTTTTGTTGATAAAATATTGAAAAATATAGTAAAATAACTAATGTTATAGCTGAGTTTTAGCTTTTAGCAAAATGATTAAGATTCATGGGGTCATTCTTCATTTACAATTACTGAGATATATCAGCATAATAACATATTTAAAATTAAGTATGAAAAGGGGTCAGACTGAATTTTGTTAGCAATAAAAGCAAAGAATTATTCTGAAAAGAATGGATTGATTTAGTGAATCAACAAGAACAAATAATGTGGATTTAATTACATAATCATTAGGAAAAATAGAAAAAGGCCTATGACATGAAAGAAAGTGAAAATGAGGTAAAACATAGACAATATTACTAATGGAGAAGAAATAAAAATGTAATCTTCATCAATCGACAAATCCTAAAATATTGTAATTTCCTTCCTTTGACAACCCCCTGTTTATTGTTGGTCATATCTTATGAAGTATATTCAATGTAAGAAGTTGGACAATGAGAAGAGAAAAAGTAAGTTGATTCCAAGGATTCCACAAACATCTTTCACACACAACCTACTTAAAAAGAACTACATTTAGTAGTTTTTGTTTCCTCTGTGGAGCCAAAAGAGATAACCAATCTATGACAATTATAAATGATAATTAGATTACAGATATTGCAAAATTGCGTGTGCTTGGCCTTAAACGTAATGATAAGCAAAGAGAACAAATATATTTCTTGTAATTTTGGAAAATTATACAAAACACTTACTGTCCCTATTTGAGTATATTTGTGATAACTAGGGGGCGGATTTTGATGACCTAAAACTTCACCAAAAATGATCAATAAAATACTATAAAATGTTTTCAAAATGCCTTAAAACCAAAATGATGTAAAAAATATTCCATCAAAACCAGTTCAGATGAACAACTCAAACTGTTGGATATGTTACTGATGTTATCAAGGCTTCTTCCTTTCGTTTAAGTGAACTCAACTCGCAAACATTTGGTTTGGACTGTTCTTTACCACAAAATTTCTGCCTTTATATATAGCAAATTTGGCCAAACCGACAATGGCACTGATAAGTGACACAGGAATCTTAAATTATGTAGTACTCACAAAGGCTGACATTACTACATATTAGTGGAGAAATTGAATAGGCTACTCCGTAAATCTGTGGGGAACATATGTTGCATCTTTTGAATATTGTTTTAAGCAAGTACCATTAAAATGATATTAAAATCAATTAATTCAGAAAAAAGAGTCAGAAAAAAGTGTAAAATTAGTCAAAAATTGACGAAAAATGCATAAAATGACTTTATGAAAACGGTAATTTTCTTTTGCCATAACATAAAATTAATGTCTATACTAAACAGCATTGTTCTGAAGGGAAAAAGGAAAAAATTGATATTTCATTAAAATGCGCCCCCTAATGATTGCTGAGTGCATTTTTAATTTATGTGCACATATTTGCAAATTTATAAACATTTCATGTAATTTTTTTTATTGCTTATCCTTAAAATGTAAATCACAAATTTGCTTTCAAATTTAGGTTCTTTGTGTTTGAATGTGGCATATTTCATCAGTTGGGTTCAGATTTATATGCACTAAATATCATGCAAATATGTTACAAAGAGATGAAAATATGCACAGACTAATGTGTATATTTAACCAATTCAGCTGTGTTTACATCTTGAAATATAAACAATGTATTTAATTTCTAATAAAGCAAAATATCTTATTTTGCTCCAAATTTCTGTGGTAGATCTCTTTGTAAAATTTCTAAGATTGTTCTTGTGCATAGAAAAATTTGACTTTCAATTTCATATGAATTTAGAGGACAATAGTGAAAATATGCGTGATCTTTTGCTATGTAATAGCATGTGATTCACCATTATTATGACAGACCCTGATACAAGAGAATTTTTGGTAGTTCTTCTTTGAATTTATCAATCTTTATTAAAGTTTCCACAAAAGATCTGAAGAAATCAAATTATTAACTTTAGGGCACTGTGAATGTAGATCTTCAGTTACACAACTGTATTGACTGCTTTAGCATTTCATCAGTGCCCAAAGAAAGTGACACGTATCAAATGAAGAAGTAAATAAATTAAATTAAGTAAAGAAATATGTTTAGAAATTTTGATTTCCAAAAAATTTTGAATTTCAAAAAATTGTTCACCAGATAACCAAGTAATAGAATAAATCACTTTGTCTTTGCTGCAAAATAAGTGTCAATGCTCACTTGAAACCAATCTCTTGCAATATAACTTTTTTTCGTCACTTTTCATGAGCACCTATGACACATTTGTATTTGGGGTAGAGAACCTGAAGAGCCACCACAGCCTGAATGTTACCAAGTTTTTGGCAAGAAGTTGTGCCAATTATGAAAAAATTCGTTTGACAAACGCAGAGGGGGTCAGAGAAGCACAGAAGCAAAAACATTTGACAAAGGCAGAGGGAGAGCAGCACAGGTCACCGCAACTTCTTTCCACAGAGAAGATTGGTCATGCAGACACATGGGTCAGTCAGTCACATAGTGACAGTCAGATGAAATGTAACAATCAAACACAAGATGCAAACTTGAAAGTGATCTTGTACAGAACTTGTACAGAAAGATTGTTTGTTTAAAAAACTTGAATGTTTTTAAATATGTTAAAATGTTCAGTACAAGGAAAAATACACTCAATCATCATATATATACACAATACAAGATTTTACACATGAATACAAAACAATAAAAAATGAATTTATGTTCTTTATGCATATCATTATGTTTAAGAAAAAACATGCAAATATGCAAAATTCGCAGCCTGTTCATCAGACTGTTAGTATCTTGCTGAGTCTGCGCAACTAATCTTCTCCTCGAGAAAAAAGCATCCTGAGGCTTGTGCTATGTACCCACTCTGCCTGTGACAAACAAACTATATTGTGATTAGTTGCACGCCCATTTGCCAAGGACTTAGTGACATGAAGGCAGCCAGGTTCTCATCTCCAAAATTATGTGTGTACCCTCAGTGTACAAAATATTAAAAAAGGGAAATACATTAAAAATGTTTTGTAGTAGAATGATTTTCATCCAAGTGAAGAAGTTCATTATATATTTTTCACCCAATAGCAGCAAGTTTTTGAGGCAAAAGACAAACTTATTTACTCTCTTAGTTGTCAAGTGAACTATTTTTTCACATGTAAAAATAGACTTATCTAAATGCATTTCTTCACTTTAATAAAAAAAATGATTTTTGATACTTGTCACTTTTCTTGGGCACTGATGATATGTCACGTGCTGCTGAAGATGCACATTCACAGTACTTTGAAGTTAATAATTTTGCTTTTGTCAAAGCATTGCATTTAGCTTTTGTCAAAGCTCCAATGAGAACCAATGTTTATAGAGAAACTACCAAAAATTATCTTTCCATTAGAGTTTTCCTTTACTATGTTGGAAGAAACTGTAATACTGTACTTTATTACAGTTTACATGTTGAAAGTATTGAGAAGGTATTTCCATTATTGAATCCAGACTCTCACTAATTTAGTTAGAATGGCTGCATACCAAGAAGAAATCAAAACCAAGGTGTCATATTGGTTTACACTTGATTTCTTTGCTTGAGACAACCATCATTTTCCAAAAAAACGATTTAGATTAAAAATAATCACTTCAATAAAACTGAATTTTGTGGCAACCTCTTTCAACAATTTCCCATGACCAATAGGAACATATGCAACATGAAAAATTAAGAAAATTGAAATTCAGGTTTGAGAACAGTAAAAAAGAGAAGCAATTTTACATGGTGAATCACATATTATTACACTGCAAAAGAAATTGCAGTATTTCTTCATTGCATATGTGAAAGCATATTAAGTTGAAAGAACATTTTCTGTGCTTAAGAATGTTATTACAATTTAGAGAAAAAGACCTGAAAATTTGAAAATATTTACTGAAATTTCTTGTTTTAGGAATGAAATACACTCCTTATATTTCAAGAAGTAAACATACCAAATTAGTGCATATTTTTTGTTTTATGGGCATATTTTTATAATTTTGTTATCATATTTGCATTCACATTTTCATGCTTTTTAGTGCATATAAATCTGTATTCTAATTATAATATTGGGTATCTGAAGTATTTCACAAACAATTTTATATATTTGTTATATGCAATTAATACAGAAAGTGATTTAATAGGGAACTCATAAAATATATTGGAAAAAACCCATTTTTTTCTAGTACATTAAAATAAAGCATTCTTTGCCAAATTGTTTCCATCTTCTCATCTACATAAATTAATGATTGATATGTCATAACACTTAAAAAAAAAAAAAATTTGTCTTATTTGAAACATGTCCTTATCTCATCAAGTAATAGAAAAATAATTCTGATGTAATTTTTTTCCCCTATTTGGCTCAAAGAAGAGAAACAATGCCGTGAAAATAATTAACAATTAATGTACATTTTAAAAATATAATGAAACATGCAATGTACAAAAGCAAATGCAAAACATTGCTAGAATCTCAGCAAAGAAACTAAGCACTCCTACTAAATATTCTAAACGGAAAATAAAATGAAATGTGCGAGCAGAAATAGAAAGTCAAATAACAAACATAGAATAAGAAGTCAAGAGCATAATCATGCGTGATGTATTTACTTATAATGAGGACATGCAAAGTGTGCAACTCAGCAAAAAACTATATTTCTCACACATTTTAAGAATTTATATATTTAAAGAGACTGCTCATCATTTTCACTTAGGTGATATTATCATACATGTAATTTGCAATAAAGTGTATTTATAATTTTGAACAAGCGTTTTCATTCAACCACAGTGTTAAGAAAAATGTTAAAAATGTATTTTGAAGTACTTCATAAATATTTACAAGAGAAGTTAAAAAAATTACTTGTGTTACATTCAAAAAGGATTTAATGGATTGCAAGGTAATGTAGCTCTTTCTACCTATACCTTATACAAGTTATATACTGCTCCAGAATTGCGGCCGCCAGGCATCCGGTCCTCTCGAACAGCTGATAGGGAAAAAAAGAGCACAAGTCAACCAATTTGCCACCTGTACATAAGTAAGAAATTAAGGGAAAGGAAATATTGACAGGATGAGAAGAAATATAACCAAAACCATTTATAACTTTCAAGAGTTAAATGCTCTATGAATAATATATGGGAGGAGAGATTGAAACTGAAGGACAACACCCATACCAATATTAAATTTTTCATCAGTGTTTATAGAATGAAATGAGTTACATTTTTTTAAAATTGAAAATTCTAAAATTTGTAAAGAAAAGAAATATTTTTAAACCACACCATGATAGATTTTTCTTGAAGAGCATTATATTGTAATGATTATACAAATATAATATAGAGATTCTAAAATTAATCTAAAAAAATTCAAATTTAATTTAATTTTTACAATGTTTGTATTACAATTTCAAAATGAAAATTCAAACATTTCATTAAATATATATTTCTTGGCGAGCTTGTGTGTGTGTGTGTGTGTGTGTGTGTGTGAGGAGGAGGTGAAAGAAACAAGATACCAACCTTGAAGCACCATACCCTGCTCAATACATTTCTTGAATCTGCAGTACTGACAGCGGTTACGTTGCGCTTTAGTGATTTCACAGTTGCCATCAGCCACACAAGTATATACACGCCGATTCTGAACAGTGCGCTTGAAGAAACCTTTGCACCTACATGAAAAATAAGTGAATTACATTCAAAGCATTATCGTTAAAAAACAGGGCACACTTGTGACAATAAGACAGTTTTAAAATTATGACTTTCATCTAGATCTCCAACATTTCAATTCCTTTTCAAATGAAATTCTAATTTATCATACCATATTCTCATCAATTCCTAATCCTTCATTCTCGCCACACTCAAGTGAATTTAAATTGATCTTTTAATTTTTGAGTGTGCCTCTAAGAAGTCATCAAAATTACTCCAATTTCAATTGGCTCCAATTTTTTCTTTTAATTTTTTGTTTAAATATAGATGAATACTCTTATAATAATGATGCAAATCCTATTTTTTTAAAAATTTCTCAATTTTTAAAAACTGAAAAGTAAAATATATTTTCGACCTACTCTAATAAATTCATTGAAAATAAAGATTTTCCTTAATCAAAACTCTTCTTCAAAATTAGATTGATCAGGTTTTACATCCGTTTGCCCATGATTCTTAGAGGAAATGCTGAGATGGCTGTTTTGCTTTTGGCCATAAATGTAGCTTCATTTTCTTCGAATCTTCATTCTCTCTCATGTTTACATGAGCTCTGTCAATTAACATCATCTACTACATTTTTTTGTGCTCAGTGCAGAATATTGTTATTCAAATGATTGCTTGCCATGTTCATGCTGTAGTAAGATGAATCCTTCATGAAGGATACGATATGGGATAACAGGAAAAATCCGTAGTTCATTAGACGTTGCAAATAGTTTTTGTTTCTCTGGAGTGAATATTTCCTTATTACAACTTGCTCAAAATGCTCTTGTACTTGTATTTGCTACCTGTACTCATAATTCATCTTATTATAAGTGAGTCTCAAAATAAATTATAAACTTCTAAGATATGTAGAGGAGTTGAAAATGATCACTTTTGTTATTGAACAAGCTGTCAAAAAATGACATAAGTTACACACGTGACACATTCCCCTCACTTTTAAGAAATCCTTGTGCACAGATAATCAGCATGCGATCGCTTAACAATCACTTCAAATGTCACCTGCACAAATGCTTAAAACTAAATTATAAGCAATTTCCCACTATATGCTGATTGGCAAAAAGTGATCATTTTTTATCCCTTAACCCTCCTTGAAGTTTGTAACATTTAATATGACATATCTTAAAATTCATGAATTTGGCAGGGATTCCAAAACTCGAGAAAACCAGCAGAAATTTACATTGCACCCCATAGTACATAATGCATAATTATTAACTTTTTTGAAGATAAATAAATAAATGATGTCACCTATAATTTTTTGAAAACATGATATGTTAATTGTGACATGAATTAGCTTGTGCTTATTTTGGAAAATCTGGAGAGAGAAAAAAAAAAATCGACGATAACAAGAAAAATAACTTCAAAAATTACGTTAAACATTTTCTTAAAAAACAATTATATTTTATTACCATTTTACTTGAATAACAAAGTTCACTGCAAGTTGCTAGGTAATTTTTGTCACATCAAATCTCTTTGCATCAGAAAGCGACCAGCCAAACACTGATGCATATGTAGTTCCCTAACAAAAAGGGGGAAATGTCACAAGTGTAACTTCACTGTCTGACATTTTCTACCACATTTTCAAATCTTCAATCCCTCCACAAGCCCTCAAAGTTTGAAGAATTTATTCTGAATAATTCCTTAAAATGCAATATATTCCACAAAATAATTCCAGGACACTTTCTTCAAAATATTAGTATTTCGGAGTACTAATATCATTCAAGTTTTTCGAGAGATGGTAGTGGTAAAAAAATAGAACTTGCAATATTACGTAATGTTACCAATTATATGAAAAAGTATGTGTTGTTGTAGCACCACAAGTGTCATTTCAAGGAAGTTCAATTCTCTACTACTCTGCATTTGAGAACATTTCTTTTAACAAATTAACAATATATTTTAGTTTCAAATAAAAACAAATTAGGTAAGAATTTTGAAAAATAATTATGCATACATGTGGTTCCACTCAGCACATACTTTCTCGTATTATTAGTAACTGATATGTAAGGTTGGGAAGTTTATGAAAAATCATATTTTTAATTATGATGTTTATAATATGTTAATTATCAAATGCCTACAAACACAATCAAAGAAATAGAAATTCAGGGATTTTATATAGCATATTAGTGCATATTTAGTGCATTTTGGGTTAATGGAGTATTTTTCCATTATATTTAAGGTATTATTCATATTTTATTGCTTTTTTGTTCTTAATGGGGCATACTTCAGAATTTCAATTAACTTGCATATTTATCTCCTCAAAGTGAAAATAATTTCACAAATGTGAATGCAATGCTATTGATGAGACATCATGGTAATGTCTTTGTTCGTTACAGTGGTATTTGTCTAAACTACTTTTAGATGATATCATGGCACTGATACCCAAAGTGATTTGTATGATTATGAATAATGTCATAATTTATCTTTGATAAAGAATTTCTTGCACTGGAATTGTTACTTTATGATAATACAGATGAAATCATTATATTTTATTTTAAAAATTATCACTGGGATATTAAGAAGAGACAAAATGCAAAATGCAATAATTGTTATAATTAAAAATTTAATACGAAACGAATACATGAAACTATAAATTATTAAAACATATTTCATTAGTTCTAGCGCATATTTAAAAATGTTATCATGTATTTGCATGCATATTTTTCCTTTTTATACAGCATTAACTTCCGAGCCTTTCCGATAAGTAATATAATTCTAATTCTGGTTAAACTCGCTAATTAAACCCTCAAAAGTATTTGGGAGGGCCGGAAAACGAACTTAGGTGTATAGGTTCCGCAGGCAGAGTGTGAACACAGTGAGCTAACATCTCTGTCGTCAGTGAGGAAGTCCTAATACAAATGGTTCGCTTTTACATTTCAGAAGAATGTTTTCAACGAAAATTGGAACGGAACCATTTTTATTAGTGTTTTTTTGCTATATTCGAGAACGAAAAAAAACTTTTTTAGAAAAATTTGAAAATGTCGTTGGGATTTTATGTAAAACAAAAGAACAATTTCGAATTCAAGGGGTCTCAAAAAAGCCAGATCGATCAAGGGATATTAAATTTGATGAAAATCCTGCGCACGGTTTCTTCAGACAGGTGAAGACAGACGGATGGACAGGCGGACGAACGAACAGACAGAAACACGGACAGACAGAAAAACGAACTGACAACTATACGGGCGGTCGCACAAATCGGACGGACGGACGGACGGACGGACGGACGGACGAACAACACACTGAAGGACGAACGAGCTGGACGAGGAGATCGACAGACGGACGAGGAGATCGACAGACGGATGGAATATTCGGACGGTTGACTGAATGATGGAGTTTTTAAAAGAATACTAAATCGTCCTATAAGTATTAATTATTAAAACTCTTTGAAACGGACAACACACAAGGAATAAATTTACTTGCATAACAGTTTATTGATGTGGACCAATACACCCAGTTAGTGAAATAATCATTATTATGCAGAAATTCTCGACGATAAATAGTTTTCTTTACTCATCTAAATCATAAGCATAGTCAAGAGCTCATTGTGTGGTGGCTTGAATTATTACGCGATTTTAACTTTTCGTCTGTAACTTCAACATTTAGTGAAGTTTTAAAGAAAGTACCGCTCTCGACACTGAAGGTTTCCGACTCCAGTCTGTAAGGTCTGTTCATACATTCAATACAAATGCTTCGAAGATTTTTATCTCAGAGAGGTGTCGCTGAAGGGAAAACGTAGAACGGCTTTCTCGCGAGAGAAACAGAGGACGAATCGAATTTAATCAAATGACAGTATCACTCGGTGTGTGGAATTTCTGAACGCCAAGATTTTGGACAAGTAACTCTAATTACATGGAAATGCTTGAGTTCCTAATAATTCGGCCGCCTGCGAGCTTCTGTGTACGAGGACACCGCACAACAGGCTACGGAAGAGAGGCAAATGGTTCGAGAGAGAATAGCCTACGCACGTGACCACGTGCTGAGCGCGCTCGCGCCGAGTCCTTACCCTTCGCACGTGATGATCCCGTAGTGCAGGCCCGTCGCTTTGTCCTCGCAGATCATGCAGATCATGGGCTGTTCATCGTCGTCCTGGTCGTCCGGATGGTCGGCGGCCGTGGAGCTCAGGAGCCCGGCTTTGCCCTCCACCGCTGCAGCAGCGGCCGCCGCCGCCGCCGCCGCCGCCGCGCTGCCG